ATTCCCTGACCGTTGTATGGAAGACGGAGAGCGATGGCCCAGACAAGGGTGAAGATGGTGACGAAGGCGGCGGCTCGGATTCGATGACCATACAATTACGCTTCGAGGAACAGTTGCGGCAATGGGAGGAGAAGTTGAAGAGGATTATACCGCATGCTGAATACAATCTGGTGGTTGATACAATTCAAAACTCGACGCCCTCTCCTCCTGGTCCACCAACGGCAAAAGCCACCGTGCACGTGCATTTCGGGGAAAGCGACGTCTTCAATATACGCGTCCCCAAGCCGTTCTCGTACGACGACTTGGTGCAGGCCGTCCAGAGGAAGCTAAAGATCTTTCAGTCTGGGATCAGCAGTGGTGCCGGCGTCGATTCGACGCTGGTTATAAAGTATAAAGACAAGGATGGGGACTTAGTCTCCTTGACTGCGAATGAGGATGTGAGGGAAGCGGTTGCGAGTGGGGAGGTCGATTTGTATGTTGCGTTGAAAAGAGATGAAAGGTAATATACTACTAGTACTTGTTCGTGATACTATCAGATATTGTCTCGTTTTAACATGTCAACACATAACGGGGGGATGGCCGAACCTTTGAGGAGGTCGAGGCCGCGTATTTTTCATTTTGTCTCTTTCTCGATACATCTACCCAGAGCGCTCAAATACGGCACTCGATTTCGCTAGACAAGACTATTATACCGTGACATTGTACTTGTACATGACAGGAAAACGTCTGGATACCCCAACTACCGGCCGACAAACAGCACAATCTCCTTAAAACCTATAGGGAGACATTGTACGCCAATTGTACGCACATTATCCACCGACATCTAATTGTCTACAGCCAGTCGTCATTTCGAACATTCTCCTGAGGACAGCCTAGAGCCGTGAGGGATCTAGTTGCAGGTCTAAGGTTTATTGAAGCCCCAACTCTCAGGCCTCAGCTCGCGTGGCCACAACGCCCCTTCAGTCTGTTTTCACACCTGGTGTGAGATTTCAATTCGCTACAGCATTCTTCAACTTCACCGCGAGGAGATCCGCTGATGGAGCATCTGTATTCGTAATGAGTACCATGGCGTCGACCTCCTCAAGGAAGTCATAAAGCCCAGACAACTGAGCGACTTTAGATCCTGCCGCATGAAGAGCTAGAAGCCTTGGACAAGGTAAATCAAGTTCTGGTCTTTCTGTCCTAAACTCGACAGTCTCGGGCACTCGCCACTGCTCCAGGTGATGAGGGAGAACACGATCCGCCGCCCGAATTTCTCGTCTGTATGAATTTGGAACGCCTTCCTACCACTAATGTCAGGGAGGGGGGGAAGAGGAAATTCAAAAAATAAGTTCCTTACTATCGGTCGAAACCACATGCATCGTTCGTCGAGTGGAGGTTGAACGGATGTTTCGACGGTCATGAGGTTCTTCAAGGAATGTATCCTCTCTTCACCGAGTTCCTCCTCGAGACTTGGATACCCGAAAGACGCAAAGACCGCGAATGTTTGTGACTAGTTCACAAAAAAGTTTGAAATCGTCAGGTGTAGATCTGAGGGTGACACACCTTTGTGAGGACAGGTATGATATGATGAACCGTCGTAGTCGAGATCATATGTTTCTCTCCCTTGGGAGGAGGAGGAAACGCCTCGTGATCTTCAAGGTATGAGGAGTAGTCGATAGTCCTCGAGAGGATACATCTCCAGCCGTCTCGTATCAAGGCCTGCACACGCCCTTATCTTGTCATCGACTCGGGCATTTATGATCATGATTGAGGACGTACTGCTTCTCTGGCTTCGTCAGGATCCCGAGGATGGATCAACAACTTCGCCTTCGCCTCGCCGTGCTCCTCAAGTGAAAGATATTCGCTCTTGAACCTTCTTAGCGGCGAAGAGTCCTGGAAAGAGGTTTCGGCATTCCTGACTAGAAATAGGGGTTGAGATATGTATAACCTCAGTTGATAGAGGATCAAAACAACCACTAGTATACCACTTACAAGGTCTTATAAACCACTTGTCGTAATACTCTCCCAGCATCACAATCCTTTCAACGTCTCTTTCACACTCAACGACACCTAGAGCGACGTATCGTATAGCCGTATCGGTAGGTCCTTCCCGTAAGAGGTACCCTAGAATTCGGACGTTAACGACTCGTTTCCTTTCCACGAGATTCTGGGCGCGGTCTTCCTGATGTGCTGTCAATTCGTCCTCGATATGTAGGCAGTCTTCATAAGCTTGTGTGACGAGAGGCGTCGGATTGGGATGGTCGAGGACTTGGGGTAGTCTGCTCATCGTGGGTCGGAGACATAAAAGGTCGATACACGTGACGGAGTAGAACTCGACGCGACGCGTCGTGATGATACCGGCCCCCGGGCCGCCTGAACTTGAAGGTTGCTCATCGAGATCAACCACACAAGGCGCTGACTCTCCGGCGGTGCGGAATTCATACGTAATAAAGATACAGAAACATCCTTGTAACGTACAACGAACATGATGACTGTTTGTGAAACGACCGAACCTAAAGAAACCAAGATAGATGTGAGGTGGGGTGGTAGGTACGTATCAGCTAGTATGCGATAGCACTGGTAGTACAGCTCTGGCACACTGGTAAGTACCAGCACGCAGTAGTAGATGTCAAGACAACAATACACAAAAAAGAAAAACAACAACAACAATAGAGATGTAGGTAGCGAAGAATCAAGAAAACATATGCAAGAAAAAAAGCTAAATTCCGAGAATCCGAAAAAGTAAGCAAGCAAGAAAAAACGTCAACAACTTCCCAGTAGATCAAACGTGCGATGGCTTAGCCAAATACTCTGCTAAAATTCTGCCTCTTTCTTCTTTACCACCCGTCGTAGGTAGGGAGGAATAGTCTCTTTCCCTCTCCCTACCCCTTTCCTTTTCCTTTTCCCTATCCCTATCCCTGTCCCTCCTAGGTGCAGTGTGAGACCTCCGAACGCCCTCGTCGCGGTCACGATCTCGTTGGTCGTGCCCGGAAACTGTAGCACCTCTGTCTCTGTGTCGAGAATGGTGATCACGATCGCGGTCGCGGTCGCGATCACGGTCACGACGACTGGAGTGGTGGTCCCTATAGCTGTCATGATGCTTATCTCTATCTCTGTCTCTGTCTCTATCCCTCGTGCGTGATGAGGTAGAATGACCGTGACCATGATCCTTCGAACTCGAAGGCGACTGTGGTGGTGGAATCTCGGTACCGGGCGCAGTCAACGTCTTCGACCTGTGGTGTCCTGAGGACGACTTTGATGGGGAATGAGGGTGGTGGGTTTCTGTTGCGGATCTGACGTGTCCGGAGGGTGAAGATGGGGAGTCTGTAAGATGACGATCGCGGTGTCGGTCACGGTCGTGGCGGTAGTCTCGATCTCGAGTCGAGCGATGGTGATAATCTCTATCTCGGTCTCGCTCTCTGTCTCGAGATGAGCGATAGTGGTGGTCTCTATCCCTATCCCTATCTCGGTCGCGATATCTGTCTCTGTCTTTGTCCCGGTATCGATCCCTATCCTTATCTCTATCTCTGTCCCTGTCTCTATCTCTTCGACGGTCGGAATGAGAATGCGATCCAGTGTGAGAATGGGAATGACGAGGAGACCCTTCGCCCTCAACCAACACTCGATGATGACTCCTATGGCTCCTACTCTCCGACTTGACACTCCTCATCCCCATATCCGGGCTCCCATGACCATGCACCCCAGGAATAGGCACAACAGTAACAGCCTGCGGAATCGGACTATGCAAACTCGAATACTGCGACGGCGTCGTCTCCAAAACCACACCTGCCATCGGAGCCCCAAACTCATCAATCGGCTGAATATCCCCCCGTTTCTGCCGATTAGGTAGCGTCTGTGACCTCTTCAACCGAAGTGCGAATCCTTCCTTTCCATCGCGAGTCACTACAGGCTTCGAAGTGAGCGTTCGTGCGCGAGCTAGGTTGCCGCTGAGGAAGGCATCGAGGACTTGTTCGTCTTGGGACATGTTGGTGTTGTTGTTGTTGTTGCCTTTGGGTTGTTTGGGTTGTTTTTCTGGGAGGAACGATCGTGCAAAGTTTTTAGCTCTGCGTATTAGACTTGGAGTTCGGGATTTCCTGGGGATGACTGGTCCTTCTCCGTTGGCATTTGTATGTTTCTGGTTCTCTACAACGAGAAAAAAAAATGAATAGAGAGAAAAGTTGAGCGATGGGCACGTTGACAACAGAAACCATGGAGGACGCACTAGCGATAGCAACTTCTGCTGGAGCACCTGCAGGTACGAGCGTTCCATACTGAGCATAAGGTGCAGATTTCGAACCGTCGCTGAAAAAGTATTCTCCAGTGTCTGCGTCGTAGCCTGTTCTCTTGACTCCGGGAGGTAAACGATATTCGTCCTGGTCGTACAGCAGCATGAGGTGTCGTGTGAACAACTGAGAGGGGTGAGAGCGAGAATGTAAACAGGTAACGTACCTCGTCGTACTGTGTCCAGCGTCCCATATTGAGTATAGGTCACAGCGCGCAATGACGATGGTGGAGAATCGATGTTGGTTTTTTTTATAGAGGTTAAAAAGAGACTGCGCTGCCCGCAGCGTGGTGGTGTGGTGATTGGCTTGGTTTTGGTGATGTAAGGACGGGGGTAGAACTGGAAAGCTGTTGAGAGAGCTAACAATGGGTGCTCATGGTAAGTATAGTTATGCCGGTGCTGCAGCTGACGTCGGTGGGGAGCCTGGATGGAGCGGTGAATTAGAAGAGGCGATGATGATTGCGTAGAAAAAACGTGCTGATACTCTACTCACAGCGGATGGACCCCGTGGATGAGGCACGAGGGAAAGTGATGATGGGAAGCAAGTTTCAACTTGTTGGTCCACGTTGGTCCCACATGTTGGTACACCGCGTGTGACATTCGGTGACCCATGCCTGTGCCGACCTGACATAGCCTATACAGTACATGTTTTACACTGTCGGGTAAGAGCATGCTTCAGCTTCCGGTCTGAACGAATTTCGGTCGTCTCACGAGAAAGAAAAACTTCATTATCTATCGACGCCAGCAGGATTCGAACCTGCGCCCTCAAAGAGGAACAGATAGACCACATCAACGAATTCAACCAGATTCTAATCTGTCGCCGTAACCACTTGGCTATAGCGCCTTCATCGTCTCAAGCTGCAGCCCCTATATGACATGACCAAAATCCCAACCTTTCCCCAGATCAAACCCCTATCCCCCTATCCAATCCAATCATTTCACCCACCACCACCACCATCATCATGCCCACCCGTACCAAATTCAAACGTGCAAAGAAAAACCCCACGACGCTCTCATCCACCCCCACCACAATTTGATCACGACAACTTTGTGAACTCGCACACGTACGATTATTATGATACCAAGCTCATCGTCAATAACAGAGAACAATACATCCAAGTGGCGAAGGACACCGACAGATCCTTCCTAATTGGGGTCGAACCGGAGGTATTTCTGGACGAGTTCTTTTCCGGACCCTCAGTCTGGGAACGGGAACGGGAACGGTAGGAACCAAACTGCACGAGAAGCACTAGATAGACTGGCCGCTGCGAGTCAAAAAGGGTGAGGACGAGGAGTCGTATGAGCTACTGGTAAGTACCCCCCCTCTCAACTTGAGGGGAGCATTGAATAATTGACTGATGATTCCTCTACTACTACTACCCCCCTCCCCCCCACTCAGAAAACAGCCATCGAATCTTCCTGTCCCGGATACGAAGTCGTCATCACTCACGCTCACCCAGCCCCAGTCCGCATCCACTCGATCGGGGTCAAAATCGCACCGACCCTCCCAATATACAAATCACATACCCCAAGGGAGTCAAGCTTCAAGACCCAAAGCCAAGAGCATATCAATAACCGAAGCAGAAACCACAGTCCAAGTCACACCCCCACGATCCTTTCGAGGACGACGAATACGACTCCCATCGAATGGCCATCCAGAACCACAATCCTCCGAGGCCGCACCACCGCCCAACACCGTACTCACTGTTACTCTCTCCTCGTCTTCCCCTTCCCCGTTCACACTTACGCCCGACTCATCAGGTGGGGACCGAGCCGGGGTCGTCGTGACGAAGAAACTCGAGTATAGTTGGTTGATAGAGTTTTTTCAGGAGATACAGCAGAGCTACTCCGGTTGAACGGGGGATCGATACTTCCGTCAAGTTTCTTTCCTCGGAGGAGGGGGGTGGTAAGGAAAGCGTTAAGTGTTCGAGATTCCGCGCCTTTGTATCAATTCTGGGCTGGGAAGGGGGAGGGGACGAGCGTGTACATCGGATCGACACCGCTCCGACTCTGTGGACACAGCACGTTCACGCGTTACTTTCGAGTGTACGACGTCGCTAGAAGAAAAGTCGTTCTCCTTAAGGATACGTGGAGACTCACAAGTCCTGGTGTGATGAGGGAGGGAGAGGTCTACGAAAAAGCTGATGAAACACGGTGTTCCTAATATCTTGACTCTGGTCGCGTATGGGGACGTACCCGGGGAGGGACAGGTTACTAGCAGTCACTTATTCACGAATGATGGAAGGGTGAGGGAGTATCGTCATACGAGACTGGTGTTTGAGGAGGTTGGACGTCCGTTGATAGAGTTTGAAACGACGGGGGAGATGGTGAGTGTCATTGCGGATGCACTGAAAGGTGAGGAGTACTAAGGCCCAAGGCCGAGACGTAAAAAATGTACTGATATTGATTCCCGCCACCACTAGCTCACCAAGCAGCTTTGGAGACGGCGAAGATCCTCTATCGGAATGTTACCGTTGACAGTATATTGATCTTACCTGACGGGAAGGGTGTCCTCGGAGACTGGGACATGTCTACACCAGTCGACGCGCCTCGGCCTCAGCCTCGGATCCTCGTTGTAAGCCTTACCCTCAGCCCCCCCCTCCCTCCCCACCCGAGCTAATCCAGTCCGATGGTACACAGGGAACCTATCGATTCGCATCCGCAAAGCTCCTATTAAACCCCACCAACGCGGTGATACCCACCCTCGCTGAGGACCTCGAATCATTCTACTACGTCCTCATGACGACAATGATGGTGACGATGAGGTTGCAGAGCCTACAATCAAGAGGCGTACGATAGTCTGGTAGGAAGAGAACTTGGCCTTTGCTTGACGACGATAAGGGGAACAGACCACGACTAGTAGGACCATCGGGTGGCTAACAGAAGAGACCAAGTAGAGAGCATTGTAATCGAAGTCGGATTGAATTGATTTTGCATCACTGTCCCGTCCAAGTTCCCATTCACTTGTAGACTGAGTTGAAAAAATGCAAGGATTGTTGCGCGCAGAAATTGGAATAAACTGAGCTCGAAGGGTATGAGTACTTGATCATGAAGGCAGAGTCTGGGAAAGCCGCATCGCTCAGGGCAAAGATCAAATCAATTGGCAGTGTCCGGCTGTTGCCTGGAAATAGTTTACGTCACACCTGCCAACCCACCACCACCATAATCGCCTTGACACGACAGTGAGGATGCTCCTCAAGCACCCACCACTCAAATCCATCCTCCTTCTTGCATTATCTGCCGCGCTCGTCACAGCAGAAGAAAAGCCATGCACGATTCACTCTGGAGATGGCAAATACTACGACCTCAATCCGTTAAAGGCCAAGTGAGTACTATTCTCGTGGTGGGACATCCCTCCAACTCATTCTCGTCACCAGTAAAGACTACACCTTCGACACACCAGGCGGACACAAATTTCACCTCAACGTTTGTCAACCTGTGAAGACGGAGCTTTGGGAACTGAGCGATCCGGAGATTGGGGGTTTCGTGAGGAGGGATCATGGGGATTTCAGTGTTGGGTGCGTTCTCCAAGACTCTCTAGATTTTTCGTGATTTTTTTGTGGTGTCTGATTTCGTGTTTAGCCTATCGAATACGACTCTGTTGATGTCGGATGGTATACCCAAGTTACGTATGGGCAAAGGAAGCAAATGTACAGGGAGCGAGGTCAATCTGGCGGAGACGGTGATTGAGTTTATATGTGATACGTCTGTGTTTGGGCAGGTAAGCCGTTCTCTTTGGGGTTGATAATTTACTAGGAATTCATTTGTGGGCTTCATTTGACAGGGCCAACCGAGGCTACGTGCTCAGCTACCGACGGAAGACGAACAAGCTTGTGGGTTTTTTATTGAGTGGAAGACGCATGTGAGTGACAGACTTGAATCTCAAGACGATTTCTTGTCTCAACGCCCTCTACCCAGTTCGCATGCCCAACAGGCGAACGATCTGGTCCATTTGGTTTCCTCGCATCACTGGTCGTGTTGTTGGTCGTGATTGTGATGATATACCTTCTTCTCGGCACGCTATACAATCGATACGTCCTCGAACTGAGAGGGTTCGACCAAGTTCCGAGGTTTTCGATCGAGGCGATGAAGTATCACGTCGGCCATGGGGTGGAAGCGTTCAGAGAGTGGATGACGACGAGAGGGTACGAAGGCGGTCAACGGAGCTTTAGTGGTGATTTTGGTGGTTCCAACAGAGGATATGAGAGAGTACCTGGTGGACTCGAAGGTGGATTTGGGAGACCGAGAAGGAGCGAGACGAATCCTGTTAGTCACCAGGCTGGCGTTGATGTTGGTGGAGGAGGCGGGGGAGGACTGGATGGAGGATTTGTTAGGCCCAATCCATCGTCTCCTCGACCACAACCACCACCTCCACCTCCTCCACAGGCGCAGGATACGAATCCTGTCAGTCACCATTCGCAGTCTCAGGCGTCGCAACAAACGCATACCGAGCCAGAACAAGCACATCAACCTCCACCATCATCCAAGGCACAGGCACCCACAGCTGCGACCCAGCCGCCGTTCGCTTTGGAAGACGATGACGACGACGATGAAGAAGAAGATTTGGCTGCCGCTGCTGGTAAACCCCAAACGCCTGGTGGAGGTGCCATTCGGTTGTAAGAGATTTGGATGGAGATGGGTCTTCTGTCACTTGTCGTTTGATAGTATGTAAGTTATTTTAGGCTGCAAAGGGGAGGATTCATGTGTTCTTTGAGGAGTAAAATGGGTTCGGACTGTTCTGTTCTTACCGTGATACTGTAGTGAGATCAAGCGGTGCGTTGTATATTTCCAATCTGAAAAGCGGAGTAAGCCGCATTAGCACAATGGTAGTGCGTTGCTTTCCTATCGTCTTTGAAAAAGCTTCGGAGGCAAAGGTTGCGGGTTCGAGTCCCGTGTGTGGTTCTTTTTCCAGCCGAGGCAGCAGGTGGGGCCTGGGCCCACTTCGGCCTAAAGTCAAGGACCTATATATTCTTCTTCATAGGAATACCTCGTCCATTTCTCTTCTGACCATGAGCACATGGTCGACGTTGCACCTCAACACTCCGCCAAATTCTCCGCAAAACTTACTTAATTCCCACGTTAACGTTGACCACTACCTCCACTGCACCACCACCATGACTTGATCGACGGCTCACCCACGTCCGTCACGCCCCGGTCGCCCTGGTCCCTGACCTTCACTCCAACCTTCTCAACGGGCCGTCTACTACCTACACAGACCGCATGGCCTCATCATGTGTACACGGCTACAATGTATAAGTTTGGACATGGAGAACCTTGAACAATTTCGCCCTCAACACCACAATGCAGCTGCTTTCTGTCATCTCAAAACCCCACATCAAAAGCCTCGCCGTAGCTTTAGGACTCCTCCTCAGAGTGAACGCTCTATCTCCCAAGTTCCTCGCTTGTCAAGTACAAAAACCAGCCGGGACTTCACCGTTGGATGGGTGCCCTCCCGGTACGGTATTCGTCTCGCAGGACGGTCCGAATCCAAGTGTACAAGAAGCTATCGAAGCCCTGTGAGTCTTTCCCTTCTTCATGCCGAAGGTGAGAAGATCATTCAACCGCAAACGCCGCACGCGCCAGGCCAGAAGAGGGAGAAGCGATCATTCTCATCGCAGAGGGACAATACCTCGAAACCGTCAACGTCACAAGGAGAGCCCCACTCACACTACTGGTTCGTCTCCTCCTCCTCATTTTTTCTCTCCAACTCAAACTGTTCGTTCGTAGGGCCAGCTCCCCCCCGAACTCGCCAGTGCAGTCAACGAACCCTTCTTCGACCAAACCAACACCTCAACTCTCAGAAAAAACCTCGTCCAGATCTTCGACACCCGCTTCGTTCGACAAGGCATAGACGACGACGCAGACTCATCCGTCCTAACCGTCGCACCCAACAGAGCAGGCGCCCTCATCGGCGCAGGACCTACCGGTGCTCCTCTCCAGCCAGAATCCGGAAACGCAGATTTCAAAGCATACAACATCGATTTCGAGAATCGTGCGGTATTTACCAGTTTCCCCCCCCCCCAAAAAAAAAAACAAAACAACCTCTTTTCAACTTTGTCACTTTTTTTTAGGCCAACTTTTCGATATCCCAAGCTTTAGCTACGGATATATCCTACGCCAACGCTTCGTTCTACGGGTGCTCGTTCGCGAGTTATCAGGATACGTGGTACACGGGTTGTAACGGTAGCACGTACATGGTCGATAGTGTAATCTACGGACAGACAGATTGTGAGTATATCTCTCTTCCAACTGTCTCCCCCTCCCAGCTCTCACACGCCAGACCACCCTCAGACCTCTTCGGATTCGGTACAGCATACTTCCAAAACGTCGTCCTCGCGAATAGAGCGTGTGGAGGAGGAATCGTAGCGTGGAAGGGGACGAACGAGACAGACGCTCCGGGTAACAAATATGGCGCGTATATCAAGGATTCGAAGATTATACGGGTACGTGCCCGTTCGTCTCCCTAGGCTCCCTCTCCTCAACCGCTCCCTACCATTCATGTAGTCCCCAGATGCGAATGCCACGACAGATATCACGAAGAAGTGTTTCCTCGGTGAGCCTCCTCCTCCCGCCCGCCCTTCTCCAGAGCTCAGATCGTTCGTATCCTAGGTCGCCCATGGAACGATCTCGCCACGACCGTCTTCCTAAACACGTTCATGGAAGACGTCATCCAACCTACCGGATGGACGACGTTCTCTGGTCGACCGGAGATCTTGAATACGACTTTTTACGCCGAGTACAACTCTACAGGTGGGCAATGGCATTCGAGAAACCATCATCATCGTCATTATCATGCGCCTTACGTGCGTGAAATAGGTCCCGGAGGCGACACTAGTCAGAGACTGCCCTTTGAACATATCTTGACGACGGAGGAAGAGGCGGAGGAGTTTACGGCGGAGAGAGTGTTTGGTGGGAGTTTACCGGAATGGGTGGATTCGAGTTATAACTTCTAACTTCTGAGTTCTGGTGGGGGGGGGGCATGTACGTATACGTAGCACAAGCAAAAAGGAGACACAGAAAAAAAAAGGGAAACTGGTACAACATGACAACAGAGCGACGCCAGCAGGATTTGAACCTGCGCCCTCAAAGAGGAACAGATTATCTATTCGATGGATTTTCTTTCCAATTCTAATCTGTCGCCGTAACCACTTGGCTATAGCGCCCTGATTGCGGAATCAAGTATTATAATCAAGCGGGGGGCAGGAAATCGGAGTAGGCAACTCATCCAACTCTGCAGAAGCGAAGCTCTGGCCCACCCTGCAGAGTCGAAGTCGTTGGACAGGCTCATGATTAGCTGAATCAATGATGCCATGGTTTATGGGTGTCCAAATGGGAAAATATTAATTTTCCCCCCGCGAAGTACTTTTCCCTTCCCCCCCCCCCCATTATCCCCCACAATTTTATGTGTTTCCGCGGGGGATTTCTGGTCACAGGTGCGCCTCACAAGCCAGGCTCAGTGATCTAAGCTGAAGTAAGTATCATGCTACTCTTTTGTACCTAATAGGACTAGGTACGTCCAATGATAAGCTGTTCTGACACTCTTACAGTGACATTCACCCATCTATCATCTTGAGTGTCAGAATCTCTGTCTCATTTAGGTGCTCAAATTTAAACAGCAACTGGGCCAATGCTTGAACATTGTAGATGGAATATACTGAGTTCTGGAGGATTTTGGCCTGGAATGCAACAACATTTGTGTTTCTGTAAATAGTTATGCATCCTGATTCCTCCCGAGTCCTCAACATGTTGATATGTGCAATGACGTGTAATTTCTGTGGTGGTGAAGGTAGCATTAAGGGAGTTACATCACTCAGAAAGGCTAGAGAATCTTTAAATGTCACTTGAATAATCCCTATCGATCTCTTGAACACTCAGTATACCTAGATCACTATGCCTAAGCACTCATAGGTGCCTATATTAAATACTAGGAGTGCAGGGGAGTCGGAACAGCTTAGAATTGTTAGATATTGGATGTACATAGTCCTATAAGAGTAGCATGATACTTACTTCAGCTTAGATCACTGAGCCTGGCTTGTGAGACACACTTGTGACCAGAAATTCCCCGCGGAAACACATAAAACTGTGGGGGATAACGGGGGGGAAGGGAAAAGTACTTCGCGGGGGGGAAATTAATATTTTCCTATTTGGACACTCATCATGGTTCGCCATATTGTGGGTCCTTAAGGCCTTATTCGTCGGAGTGTAAGCCGGGGCGGTAGGAGTCAAGTACTTCGGGAACGAGGGGGCTATCGGGATCAAGTCATAATCCGAGAATCAGATAAGAGCAATTGGCTTCTGTGGTGGAAGGTCTGCAGTAAGTTGTGAGTTGGAAAAATGCTGCTGGAATCATTACACGGGTATCGAACAGAATTACATACAACAAATCTTCTCTATCGACACCTAGTCTCCCCTAGGCAGACTCTATATCAGCTCGCACGCTCGCGGGTGATATAAGAGTCTGCTTCAAAACGCGGTCCCTTACCCGTACCTCCCTTGAGGGTCTCCCAGTTTTCCGTATATAGTAAAAAGATAAGTCATGTGACATAAATTTTCAGCGTGGGACTCGATGGGCCCCTGGGCAATGGCTCAAGCGCTCACGACTTGGCGTGCATTTCTGCCTTTTTAACCGCTCATTTGTCCCTCCTTGAACTGGGCATAGATATTGCTTCCGTGATGAGACTTCATTCTCTGAGCTTCGCTCTGAAGACCTTCCAAATACTCTCATCTCCTCACTCCTTACACCATCGTGTTTGATTGTGCCACCGTCAACCTGTCGTTATGAGAGCTCAAGGGAACCAGTTACTGGCCATTTCAGAGAAGAATAAGTTTCTCTTCCAGTAAATTTAGGCAAATCTAGTACGGGGAGGTGGCCTTTCCTCCTTGAAACGCGTGAGGACATCAGACGCGTCGGCGGCTTATCGTTATCTCTTGATAATCGAGCCACACGTGAAGCGCATGTGACATATTTTCAAGGTACGGCTAGAGGGTGCGAATTTGACGCAGACTAATCGACACCGCCTCCCCACGGCTTGCCACGACTTTCTCTCTACATTCAGACATTCGATGTCTCGATATCGTGCGCGGAATCAGGGCTGCTACGGTCTGTTCCCGTTTTCTGAAAAGCGGGTTAGTGAGGCAAGGAGCTTAGAGTATCTTCCTCACTTACTACCGGATCCATCGGGTAGCTACCATTCCAATCAGTGGTCTCCTCAACTCTGACCTCTGCTGGGCGTTGATTGGTCTCGGGTGGTCGCGTTCGGAGTACCGCGCTATTGACGCTAATTAAACCACTCGGCGAGTCGTTGGTCTGCAAGCGTCCACGAGAATTATTGATCTGGATCCGACTATTGAACGCCACGAGCAACGAGTTGGAGTAGAGCTTGGCAAGAACAATATCGGGGGCCATGTGGTAGCTTCTCTCGGGAATGACAACAAACAGGATGAGGTGCAACGTCGTGAAGATAGCTGTATGGAGGGCAGTACTTGGTTTTTGATACAATAATCGAGGACTGAAAGAAAACGAGACGTACGCTCCGGGTAACAAGTATGGCGCGTATATCAAGGATTCAAATATTCAAAGGTCATACGGGTATGTGTCGTTCGTCTCCCAGGCTCGAGCTCAACCGCCCCCCCCCCTACCATTTTAGTCCCCGGATGCGAGTCCGACCGAATGCTACGACGGATATCACGAAGAAGTGTTTCCTCGGTAAGCCTTCTTTTCATTGTACACCCCTGGCCTCTATCGATCGACGTTGTAGGCCGGCCATGGAACAATCTCGCTACGACCGTCTTCCTAAACACGTTCATGGAAGATGTTCATGGAAGATGAAGTTATCCAACCTGCTGGTTGGACGACGTTTTCTGGTCGACGGGAGATCTTGAATACAACCTTTTACGCCGAATTTAACTCTGCAGTTGAGCATTCATCATGCGCCTTTTTTCTTGTAATAAAGCGATACGTGAATATACAGTCAATTGGCCGTCCTTGAGACACAAGATGGAATTTTGTGTCCCATAGTCGAACAACACAAAATTTCACATGCCAATACTGACCTATTTCAATCAATTCGGATGTCACGCGTCACACGCCCCCCAGTATCCGAAATTTTTTCGGATGGTCACTAGGTCACAGGGGGGTCATCCGAAATGTTCCCAAATGTGACATAATTTCGGGCGGCCCAAAAGGCCAAGAAATCGGACTTTCTGCCATTTTTTGGCCTGAATCTGGTGCATTCTGCAAATTTTGACTGGTGGCGACTCTCAGCCGCCGTGATTCTCCCTCAGCCTGCCCCATCCCTTATTGTTCCATACGAAATTTCCACCGGTGTCACCGGTCACCGACCTGCCATCCGAATTCATGCCAGAAAATTTTTCGGTCACACGGGAAACCCCATCCGAATTGATTGAAATAGGTCAGTATTTTCCCCCTCAATGCTAGACATACAACCTGCTAGTACACCACATCCGAATACTAACCGTGCGGTGAAGTAGTGGAAAATAAATAAAATCCTGAGAGGAGTCGGATGTCACGCCATTGGACTCCTTGAGACAGTGTTAGGATCGTGCGGATCGGATAGGGATAAGATAAGATATGGGATTTTATATGCTGTCGGATAGATGGATAGGAAAGAGATAAGATGAAGGAGTGTGGGAGCAACGGATCTAGAGCAGACAGTAGCTGAAGGTTTCGCCAACAGCACCATGAACTGAGCTGTCCTTCTACTAGACTAAGAGGACAAGTTGCAAGAGAGAAGGAAAGACATGATAGAGAAGTATCTTGGTTGATCCTGGTTGATTCTGGTTGATTTCGAGTCTTCTGATACAGGATAGAAGTATAGAGCTTATATAGGGTTATAGTAAATGAATGAATCATAAGTGAGTCAAGTGCAGAAAAGGTTGATGTATCATATGGAAGTCAAACACGGGGAGGAATGTACCGGAAAGGAAATGAACCGGAAATGAATATGTGCATGATGGAATGAAGGTATGAATAGAATAAGTGAGCGTGGGAATATCTCGGAAGTCGGAGATAAGTAAGTCAGAACAAATCAGAATAAGATGGAAAGAGTCCCGGAAGCGGAGGCGAAAGTGGCAGAGGTTCCAGGGATAGACTTGGTGTGAGAGACTGAACCACGGAAGTGAAGGTTGAGTGCCGGGGATGGAATAGTGTTGGAATGGACTTGAATAAAAGCCAGGAAATACCCGGGATAGGTCCAGAAGTGATGTGACCAGCCAAGTGTGACGTGACTAGGTGAGATAGACCAGGGTAAGATGCATGGATGTAACAGACAGATGTGACACTGTCTCATTTGGCGCGTCCAAATGTGTGCGCGTGTCACGCTTTGAGACATCAAATCTGGTAAATGATTTTTGTGGTTGCTCTAGCCTACTGCATGCCCTCGGAAAGTGGATTATATTTGTGATATAGACCCAAACTATGATGCCAGAGAGACCTTTGGGCCCAGCACATTCATGAGAGGCCAGGGAAGCCAATCCGAGAATTTTGCATGTCTCAGAGTCAAAACATATGTTTCCTTCACTGAGTGTCATTGACGTGTCGGGTATACCTATAAAATTGCTGGCATACTCTCTGAACATGTTTTCATAATTTAGAGCCTTACTGTACACAAGACTGAGGTAGGATCAGGCGGTAGAAGCGATATATAGGCTGTGTCTCAAGGAGTCCAACTGTCTCAAGGAAGGCCAATTGACTGTACAGGTCCTGGAGGGGATACTAGTCAGAGACTCCCCTTTGAGCATATCTTGACGACGGAGGAGGCAGCGGAGTTTACAGTGGAGAGAGAGTTTGGCGGGAGTTTACTGAAATGGGTGGATTCGAGTTATAATTTTCAAGTTCTGGTGGTGTTGGAAAGTCGGTCGCTCAGTCAGTAAGAACAATTCATTGTTCGATTGTCCAATGTCGCAGCGCTATCAATACTGGAACTTGACTCACCCACGCCCTCATATCGAATTTGAAGGCCTCAGAAATTGAGATTTGTAGTAGAGCAAACGGTATAGCACGAGTACAGCTAGGTTATATGTAGTGACGGTGAATTCGATGAACGTGTCAAGCCTGTGCAAAAATGCTTTGGACGCGTGGTAGGCGCCCCTCCTCGTTTCCTGCACATGTTGATACAGCTTTGAACTCATACTCTGCGGACTC